TTCACCTCACTCGGATTAAGACAGCTCTTTATATTCATGTTTGCCTTTTGAATGCTCTTTTTTATCCTATGTTGTCCAAATCTACTTTTATCATTCTTATGACTATCTGGTCCGGTCCTTCCGACAAGCAGGATCAGTAAAGAGCGATGGGTCATTACACCGGTTGAATATAATACAAAGGCTGTCGTAACTCCGTGTCTAAATGGTAGGATGTCCAGACCGATATATATTTCTGGATTTTTCTATTCTTAAAATTAAGATCTATTTCGAATTAGTCCTATTACCCTAGCGTGTATTTCTTTACAATATAGAACAACTCTAATATTTCTGCCACGTAGCCATCTCGTTTTGGCATTCTACAGACTGAGTTGTGTTCACTTTGTTTAAGGTGATGAAGAACTAATAGTTGTATTTTCTCACAATGCTATGAATATAGCTGACGTTTCCATTGAATTTCACATAACCTTGCTTTCCCAAAAACTGTTCTCATCCAGGGTGGACCGTAATTTCAACATCACAGTTTACCCTGGGGGAGAACAACTTTTGGGAAAGCAAGGCTATGTTAAATTCAATCACTGTGGGAAAAATTCAATTACCACTCCTTCACCTAAACGAAATATGGTTAGCACAACTCATATGATTTACTGTTAGCCTCAAAAACCTACTCATTTATTGGAAAAATTATATATACTGTCAAAGACCAAATTTTACTATCTGCTGTTCATCCAATCTGTTCAAGTAAAGTCGGGATGATCGCTATGGATGCTTCTGCATTGTCTTGGGGATATAATTGATTCTGATCTTCATGGCTGTGAGTATCATAGTTCCTGAGCCTGGTCATCTTTCTTCAACGGCTCTATCGGGCACTTAAAGTCGGCCTGTACGCTCCAGGGCCTGGTTTCGGTTTCACTTCGAGTCTGTACTCAGCTTACATTTTCATTAGACTTAAGCCACTAGTGGGTCCCGAGTTGAGCTAACTTTTTAACTGGTACCTCCGGTCCTAGTTTGCCTTCTGTTCATTTTTCAGTCCTTCCTTAGGGTTTCCATTTGAAAAATTACGCTGAGTCGGAGTTTGGCTCTTGATGGCCTCCGAATAATTGCATATCCTATACTACTTTCTGGCATTGGCCGCAGCAATTGCAATGAATAAAGTTGTAGCCTGACATGCCTTCGATCTACTCGATTGTCTGGCGTTTCTTGATCCGGTTCCTCGGCAAATCTAGCACGGCAGCATTCAACTGATTACCTCATCCTACCATGTTTACGTGATTTATAAATAACTCATGGATCTTTTCCTTTATATTTGGCTGCCAATTTGTCTACTGGTCTTGTAGTTTATAGATCCAAATGATTGGACAAGTGTATCATTCGCCAAACTCTTTTTAACGGGGGGCAGGTTTTTCTGAATAAATTTTTTTTCTTAACTGATAACAACGTATTATCCAGCCCCAGCAAGCAGACATACAAGTGAGCTAAGTTTAGGATTGTCTCATTACGTAAATTGATTCTATAACTGCTTACCAGGTTCGGATAGGTCGTGCCTCTAAATTACTTGTTTTCATCACTCGTTGCTACAATTTCATTAGGCTAGGCTACCAAGGCCCCTTAGTCTCGGAAGGCTAACTTGAGCTCTCCATCCTATCCTCACTTAGTTTAGTGGCTATTTTTGCCTTATGATTATACCCTCATTATATATAAGCTGTCTCTAAAGGTACATCGAACCATTTAGTTATGCTCAATCAGTCTTGTTGAGAACGCCATGAAGGAATGATCTTGGTTATACTAGAGTGAGATTCTTTGTCTTAGTAAAGCTCTCTTAAGAATCCCGCTGCTTGTTCCCAAGACAAAGGGCTACCCGTGGCACTTTTCATTCCTAGATTTACAGCACTCCGGTCTGTCATTAGTATGTGCCAATTGGATGAACCATTCTTCCATTTTGTAGTTCCTCTGTGGTCACGCTTTAACGGTACTACCTCATTTAGTAAGTAAATTCCTGACCAGTTTTTACTAAAATGTGACCCTGTCATCATTGGCCCAGCTTTGTGTTTCTAAAAAGTGTATGTAATTTCTGATGCGCTTTCATCACCACAAGGCTTCCTTTAGTTTGGGTTCTATATTTTTTTGACTAGCTAACGCTCTATAAAGCCAATAAGAATCTGAAGCCATTAGGAAACTCTTGATTTTATAGAAGGGTGGTTGCTGGAGTACCGTATTATAAAGTGTACTGACACTTCAACTAAGTCTCAATCAGCCGGAGTGGAGTGCAATTGTTATGCTATGAATTACTAACAACACAGAGATACGATACGATGCAATATTTGCTATCCTGTTGATTTTCTTCGCTTGACTACCCATACCTCATTGCATTGATTCTGCGTCTAGGTGTCTGGTTTATGCTAAATTTTGATGGCCCATCCTATGTATTGGGGAGGCGTTAGAATGGGGTCTGGATTAGCCATTTCGAGTGCAAACTTATTATTTTCCATCAGATTATATTTAAGTCACTTTAAAGCCTACGTCTCACTCCAGCGAACTAGTTTAACAAAGATATTTCCTCATTTTTATTATCTAGTCTAACTCAACGAGAGTTAACTGGTCTTGAGGTTGGATTGTTTTCGAAGGATTTAAATTAATTATTGGGCGCAATTTTTATTATCCGTCAGATATCCTCGAAAATCCCTTCCATCTGCCACAATATCTTCTCTGTTCCAGCCACTTGTGCGGGCTGGCTGCATACTTGTCTGCAAGCATATATCATAGTTGCCGAAGCCTTTATTTCTTTAATTTCAACCTTGTAGGTCCAAATCACGCTCAAATCGTCACATGAGGAAGCTGTCGGCAAAAGGTCGAAAGGGAAGGAAATCCTTACAAACCCGTTAAGGAGAAGAGATTTTGACAGATTATTTACTTATTTTTTATTTCAAATTCTTAAAAAAATCAAGAATGGTGTTCTTTTATAATGATTCCATTGGATACGGCCTTTTTTACGTCTGAGTTCGCCGCTTATTTTCGCCAATCGTATTTCCTTTGGGATCTTCATACATAAAATTGCCTTTATCATGATTTATTCCCCTTTGCTCAGATAACTTCATTGGTTTCTCCCTCTTCCTACTGCATTACTAGTGCCTCCCTTACATTTGCATTACTGGCCATCATGAGAGTGTGGCAAGCCTGCTACTTAAGTCGAGTAATATGGAATGATCCAAATCC